ATATAAGTACATTCATTATGAATTTAATCGGTGACGTCGAAACTGACGGAATTATGGGTACAGTGATTAGCTATCCCGGATGGAACGAATTTAACGTTTCATGGACGACGCGCAACCCGTGACGTGGCCGTATATTAAATGTATTTAGGATCCGTGCAAGCAGAACATTGACCGTTGCCTCTCTTTCTTCTACTTCTTCATCTTCTTCTTCATCTTCTTTTCACCCCCTCCGACCTGTAGCTTGCACCTCCTACTTTTACACTCGAGGCGTTCAAGCGCCTCGTCGCGTGGGCGTTTAACGCTTCGTTCCTATGCTCCTATTTACGAATAATATTCCTGTTTAACGCACGCCGGTTGAGAACAAACAGACTTTGCTGAAAACCTGAATTCTTTTTACTCTATCTATGCTTTACTGGGGACGAAGCAGGTAGAATATGATTTAGCTCCGAGGCAATCGGGCTATAATTTCTTTTAATTTTCAATCGGATTTATGGAGCAGAGAACAACGAATGCTAACGGGTACTAAAAGCTGAGAGCATTTTTTCTGTAATATACGAGCGTGTCCTCTTTGGACGAAGACGCATACGTCACGAGAACGAGATCGACTGTCTCGAGAATAGAAAGTTTTACGTTTAAACGGTGACAAAGAATATAAAAAGAATGGGTTGCAACTTGAACGGGGAGAATGCGCGTGAAGTATACGGATTTGAATATTCTTGAACGCGATAGATTTATGTAGGAAAGATGCTGATTCCATCAGCGTGTTTACTGACAAATTTTGAATACCAAATATCACTATTCATAGCTATTATTCTTTTAAATATTCGATATTTATCATTTAAAAACTTAATTCATTTTCTCATAACTTTTACTCTTTCTTGTAATGTACCGAAGGGTTGATAGTGGAAAAATATTAATTATTATTATTAATAAAGAAAAATACCTTACATATTTGTATAATTTTACCACGTTAAAGTTTCCAAAATTTCTGTACAGTAATTAAATCTGATTTCTTCCAAACCGCCATTTTTCCTTGGATGACCATGTTCGAACAGAGCAGAGACAAAATTGGTACCGAACAATTACCGAAACGAAGATGTTCTTATTTTAGGTTCGGCACATATTGGACCATAATTATGTAACGTGCCGCGGTTTTCACGAGATGAACAAGGTTCGCGCCAATCGACGCATTCATGTCCACTCGGGCAATATACCGAATCGAGCGATCGAGCCTTGTATTCGTGGCATTGTCGTGTTCGTCTCGATAATACAAATGATCTGTCCAGATGATTGGCGAAACAACAAATTTCCCCGGTTGGTTTCCATCGTTGGGGGTCGTAGTCGATAGATTGTCTTCGAGGTTGTAGCTGATATCGTATCTGGACACGCGCCAAACACCTATTTTCGATCTTAGGAAAAATGTGTACCTTGAACGTTTCCAACAGGAGCATTGTGTGCAGCGAAACTGGGTGTACGTTTGTACAAATTCTTCATTTTACTTTGATGCCCTAAAGTCAGCGGCAGTAACGTCTTCGGGTGAGGGGGTCTCGCGGCGAGAACGATTTAACCTTCAAATTTTTTATTTTAGAGATTTACAAATACTTTTTAAGATTTTCAACATTTTTGTTGGATTTGTAAATTCTTGGATTCCCTGATTTCTAAATTTTATTTACAAATTCAAAAATTATCAGAATTCACAAATCCCAAATTTCTAAATTATCAAATTACTAAATTTCTAAATTTCCAAATCCTCAAATTCTCATACCCTAAATTCTCAAACCTCAGATTCACAAAATCCAAATTCCTAAATTACCAAATTACCAAATTTCTAAATTCCCCAATCCCCAAATTCTCAAACCCCCAAATTCTCAAACCCTAAATCCCCAAATTCCCAAATTTTCAAATCCCCAAATTCTCAAACCCCAAATTCTCAAACCCCCAGTTCTCAAACCCCAAATTCTCAAACCCCCAAATTCTCAAACCCTAAATCCCCAAATCCCCAAATTTTCAAATCCCCAAATTCTCAAACCCCAAATTCTCAAACCCCCAAATTCTCAAACCCTAAATCCCCAAATCCCCAAATTCTCAAATCTCCAATTCTCAAATCTCCAAATTCTCAAACCCTAAATCCCCAAATCCCCAAATTCTCAAATCCCCAAATTCTCAAACCCCCAGTTCTCAAATCTCCAAATTTTCAAATCCCCAAATCCCCAAATTCCAAAAACCTTAAACATCTAATCTTAATCCACAAATTTTCAAAATTCCAAATCTTCAATTTTCCAAATTTCCTATTCCCAGAAATAGTTACATAATAATATCAAATGATATTTCATTCACATTATTGAATGACCTACATCTTTATCATTTATCAGAACGTGGATTTACTTCGATGAGTAACCCTTCTTTCAGACTTTCCACAACTAATCTCCACCGTTAATCATCAAGGGTTCGTTAAGACTCCATTGTCCCTCTTTCTTTACAGTTATATAAGTCGTGAAGTATAAAAAGAACAGAATTTCAAAAATCGAAGTCTTCATCTCTGAAGACCTTCTTTAATCATTGTGTGACTGTTCACCATAGTAATCCGCGTTATTTATCCGTCACACAAGAACCTAATACTTAAGTCAATCTTATCGTGTTATGTCTTTACTTTTATCATAATCTGGAAAATAAAATTGATCGTACGAGGGAAGAGGATTTCCATCACGAAGAATTCTTCGAATGTAAATATACATTCTTTTACTATATTAATATATAATTACAAATATTATCGAGTAGTGTATTATAATTTTGTATCTTAGACAAATTGACGCATAATTAACAAAATTTTATAAAGCTTAGAAACTGAATACGAGCTATCAGAGGGTTAATCCTCTGCTGTCATGAAGTCTCTGCTGTGAGCTTATTTTTCTTACTTCTTATCTTTCCACTGTTTATAAACTATACAAATTTATTTTACTTATAACCCTACAATGAATGATTCTGTTCTATTATGTTTACTAGAGAAGTGTCTAAACTTTGTAGTCGGAGGTAGTAAATCACATTTTTGGGTATTTACAGAAGATCAAATAAAAACCTAGTAATAAAATATGAACTTAATATCGTGTTCACGTCATTATAGCAAAAATTAACTGACTAAGAAAGACATAATTTTTGCCACGCAAAAAGTTCAGGAAACGTGAAAAGTGTCACGTTTCAGGAAAAGTGGGCTTAACACACTTTGCCTCTGCGGTCCAGATATGTAATAAAAATAAATCAGCAAGCAAAACTGACAGAACAAATCTATATTCCTGTGTATAAATAACTGGAAATTCAGAAGCCTCGAGACTCTACTTTTCGAAGACGTTACAGTTAAGAAACAGAACGCAATTAAAAATTTCACAATCCGATATTAATCGTTCAATTTCACACTTCATTTAAGAAACACCTGGTGCATTAAAATCGTGGTTTCATTCTGTTGAAGAATGAAAGAAACGCGAAAGAAACGCGATGCGAAATAAGCGCGAAGGATGAACCGTAATGGCGGCCAGCGTCCTGGTACCGGAAGTCGGCTGGAGCTCACCGTTCGAACGCATCGAATCGTTCGTTTATCTCGAATTCTCAAGTTGTTTTTTCAATTGGCGAATCGATGCGTGTCGGCGAGTCAATCTCGAGGTTCCACGAGCGTGTCTGCTCGGCGATATTCGAAGGTTAAATGGAAAAAACTACGACGACAGGCACGGGAGGCTGTGCGGCCGTCGCCGGGACCACTGGCTTCCGGCCAGAGTTTTCCCTCGTTCGATGTCTCGCCACCAGGTAGCGACGCCTACGGACTATTTAAAGGAATTTCGGCGAGGTTCGTCGCTTCGTTTCGTTGAGCAGCGCAGGCGTTGCCCTTTGAATGTTTGTTTGTTTTCGCCCTCCGACACCCTTCATGTAAAGAGTAAATATTAAAAAGGAAGAAGCAGCAGCACGCGTCATCAAGAACGATGCCCAGGGAGGAGTAGTTAATTAACGGATAATCGCACATAATCAGGGAGAAGAAGAAGAAGGATTACACGGTTGCACGGTGTGCGTGACACAATTTTGCGTTCGCCTTGATCCGCGCCGTACGAATTCCGTGCCGCCTCGATCAAAGTGCGACCCGGGAACACCCCACGAGCCGGGTCGGTTCCTGAGAGCCTGGTGACAATCGACAAACAAGAAGAAAAACAGACAAGTAGTATTTGGTAAGTCCCCGATTGGCCGCGCGACCACCGCCGCTGAACATCGCCGAGATATTTAGTGTTTTTTGTGATGGTACGCGACACAGTGTGAAAAATCATGGGAGAAGCAGTATTATAGAACCCGGCGAATCACATGGACAATCCGAGAAGTGTTGTGCGACGAGTAAAGCTAAGAGGGACTAGCAATCGTGAACCGCAATTGTGGAAACTTGTTACAAAAGCGTGGCAGATTCTGTCTAGGGTGTATCCCTGGATCTCGATCATCGTGTGTTCTCGATGCTCTGTTTCGGTGTCCAGTGATCATTTGGGATTGTACGCTTGTCGAGGAGCGAATCGAAAAGAATGAGGATTAGTTTACGGGATTACGAGTTAGATCCGATTAGATTAACGATAGTATGATACAGAGATAGCCTTCCGTTTTTTCGTTGTGCTGGTTTCGATACGTTATTCATAGTAGACATCAAAAGCTGTCTTTCAGAAAGTCGTAATTCGTCCACGTACATTAAAAGTTGGATAGGCAGTTTAGTTACTTTGAAGTATAGTACGGCAGCTTAAGTAGCAGCCCAGACTAACATAGCGTATTGCTTCATCGTACGTGTCGATGTGAGGCTCATGTTACATACAAACACGACCTCTACTTGTTTGCCAACAAACGTACTACATTTCCTATCTTTATAGCCCGTCCACCGTGTTTCCCTCGTTCGATGTCTCGCCACCAGGTAGCGACGCCTACGGACTATTTAAAGGAATTTCGGCGAGGTTCGTCGCTTCGTTTCGTTGAGCAGCGCAGGCGTTGCCCTTTGAATGTTTGTTTGTTTTCGCCCTCCGACACCCTTCATGTAAAGAGTAAATATTAAAAAGGAAGAAGCAGCAGCACGCGTCATCAAGAACGATGCCCAGGGAGGAGTAGTTAATTAACGGATAATCGCACATAATCAGGGAGAAGAAGAAGAAGGATTACACGGTTGCACGGTGTGCGTGACACAATTTTGCGTTCGCCTTGATCCGCGCCGTACGAATTCCGTGCCGCCTCGATCAAAGTGCGACCCGGGAACACCCCACGAGCCGGGTCGGTTCCTGAGAGCCTGGTGACAATCGACAAACAAGAAGAAAAACAGACAAGTAGTATTTGGTAAGTCCCCGATTGGCCGCGCGACCACCGCCGCTGAACATCGCCGAGATATTTAGTGTTTTTTGTGATGGTACGCGACACAGTGTGAAAAATCATGGGAGAAGCAGTATTATAGAACCCGGCGAATCACATGGACAATCCGAGAAGTGTTGTGCGACGAGTAAAGCTAAGAGGGACTAGCAATCGTGAACCGCAATTGTGGAAACTTGTTACAAAAGCGTGGCAGATTCTGTCTAGGGTGTATCCCTGGATCTCGATCATCGTGTGTTCTCGATGCTCTGTTTCGGTGTCCAGTGATCATTTGGGATTGTACGCTTGTCGAGGAGCGAATCGAAAAGAATGAGGATTAGTTTACGGGATTACGAGTTAGATCCGATTAGATTAACGATAGTATGATACAGAGATAGCCTTCCGTTTTTTCGTTGTGCTGGTTTCGATACGTTATTCATAGTAGACATCAAAAGCTGTCTTTCAGAAAGTCGTAATTCGTCCACGTACATTAAAAGTTGGATAGGCAGTTTAGTTACTTTGAAGTATAGTACGGCAGCTTAAGTAGCAGCCCAGACTAACATAGCGTATTGCTTCATCGTACGTGTCGATGTGAGGCTCATGTTACATACAAACACGACCTCTACTTGTTTGCCAACAAACGTACTACATTTCCTATCTTTATAGCCCGTCCACCGTGTTGCATCTCATCTTCAAATAGAAACGGTTCCGCCGTGCCACCAACGATTCGAATATTATATCACCCTACTATCCGTTACCTAACAGTATTATGGCATTAACGTTTCGCGCTCGATTTCGTTTCACTGAATCATTCGTACACTTCGTCGCTGGCACCTCGGCTGCTCGCGGTTAAAAAACGAAACACTCCCTTATTTCTTCGGTGGAAGGAGAGGCGGGAGAGGCCATACGGGTGTTGTTTAAAAATAAAAACACACGAAATCGAGCGAGAATGAATGTCGGAAAACGAAGGTTAGGCAAAGGGGTGTGATTCGGACGGAAGGGTAGGTAGGGACAGTTAAATAAATATGAAGAGAGCGAGAGGGTGATAGGGGAGAGGAAGGGAAGTCAGAGTGGCTGCTGGCCATCTCTGCCAAAATAATTAGGAAGTCGTCGTCAGAGACGTGCTAAAATCGTCCGCTGGGGCACGCGCGATTTGGCCGGCTAGTCGCGTCCCGGGCGTTCGAGCGAGCTGGTCGTCCGGACAGCTTTCGGACCGGTTCCCAAGTGTTCCGCAGTCCCGTGCGACCAATCGACCAGCTGTAGTCGTCGTCGTCCTTTTGCCGCGTGCCTTTCTTCGAAGTTTGTCCCCCGCGTGAACCTTGATATGATCGCTCGTGCACTTTCGTCGCTACCACGGGACAACTACTTGTACTAGCGTTCAAAGGGTTAGTTTAAACCCGGATTTTCACTTTTTACTTTTTTTCCATTTCCCTTGCTTAATAAAGCCTTTGGACATAGAGGTGTCTTTCTATGCATCATCGATCGTTAGGTTCCATCAAGGTCTTGAGTCCGAGGGTGCGTTTAGTACAAACGAGCCAGAATGCGGAGTAGGCACATTTGTTTGTCCTCGTTTAGTTTAAACGATCATTAAGCAGACTGTTCGGTTGCATCAAACAGCTGGATGCAAACGAATGTTCGCGCTGTTTAAACCTCGGGTATTTGGATACGAATTTAATCGCGCCAAATTGAATTCTACTTAATTTAATTGTGTCAAGTAGGATTGTGTCAAATTGACATCCATTTGAATTGTGCTAAATTAAATCATATTAAATTGAATTGAATCGCATGCTGAATTGAATTGTGTGAAATTGATTCGCTTTAAATTGAATTATGTGGAATTGAAACGCATCGAAAATCTTGTCAAAATTGAATCGCGTAGAACAGTATCGCACCGAATCGAATCGTGTCGAATTGAAGTGCGTTGATTTGAATTTTCAATTCGAATCGCGTCAAATTAAATCACGATTTGCATTGTGAATTATGCTGTAGTGAATCGCGCCAAATTGAATCAAATCAAATTGAATGACATAGAATTTGGCGAGTAAGCTTTTTTATGAGGATTCGTTTACTTTTAAACGCACCCTAAACAAATCAAGTTAGTATCCGTGTATTTGTAGAACTTGTTGAATGATGGTAGAACAGGATCGCAAGGCATGTTCTCAATGCCCGAAATCGCTCATGACCGTAACCCCGATTGACTCTCCCGGCTACTCCATTCACGCTTAAGTATAGCGCTAACCTTGGCTTCGGTGTTTGCTACGACGACCTTTGCACTTGGGTGGAATTTTAAGTTCCGGTACGCGACGACCTTGAACGTAGAACAATCTTTGTGACACAACGAGGGATGCGATCGATCCTGGAACGATAGTTCCCCTGTACGCTTTGCTACTAATATCGTACTATGACGTATCGATAGAATAAGGGAGTTGCTTTCGAGATCTTCTCGTACGTTGCCACGACACGTGTCTCGATAATGGAATCGCATTCGATATTCATTACTTATCGATAAGTAATAGTCCCAAATATTTAATAAAACGGTCAACAGCTTTATTTTCTTCTGCATCGTATAAGTTTGCTACTTTACGACGTTTATTTTGTTTCGGTGTGCTTAACTAAATTTATTGACTAACGTTTCTACAATACGACGAGTCGCAGTTGTTGTAATCGTGGAAAGTTATAAACTTAATTTTAGACACGAGCGTAGACATTGGCTATCGGCGCGCATTACATAACGTGAATTCATATTGGGCAAGAAATTAAAAAAAGATTATGATAATTTATTTTGAATTCGCTTCTTTGAATTGCAATTACGCGTGTGATATATATTAGACAAATTTAAACGTATACCAGACTTTATTCATTTTTTATTACATAACCTTAGTAAAAGATTTCGATATGGTACTTCGATCACGATATTTTACAAAACGAATAGTGTGCTTGGTCGATAAATATATTAATAAATCGATACGTTCGATCGTCGATGTTTGATCGCGGACTATCGATCGAAATGATCGAGATGAAATTATAAGAGTAACAGGTTACATAACGACAATATAGCGATGTCCTTTGAATGTCTTAAAATACGCGCCAAGGAAATAGACTAGCAGAAGACTGAAAATAGCTGAGTGCGTCATACTTGACGAACGCTGTCCAGCCAATGGCGTCGCTCCACATGCTTGGTTCATTCGACTCGCACGCACTTTCCTGCGTCGTGTTGCGCCGTCTCTGTAACGCATTTCCCACGTACGACACAGTAAACATTATTCCACGGAATTTCTTGCTTCGATAAAGGAAAAAGATATCGTGTTTGAAGAAACGAGAACTCGTCAGCGAACGTTTTCAATTTTAACTTGCTAACTTATGTTGCGATCGTAAAATGGCGCATGCGCAGCTGTGTAGCAACTTGTTTAATAGCGCATTCCGCCAGGTGGCGCACGTGTGCAATGATTTGCCGTTCGCTGTGTCAGTCTCACGGAAGAAGAGGTTTGCTTAGCATTTACGGGAAATATATCGTAATGAAAATGACGTGCGTCTCAAATTTCTGTGCCCGCGTATCGTGATACGTTGCGACCTGTTCGTAGAACTTTTCGTTTTCAGTGGCCAGCGAGTTGTTTGTTCGTGTCAGTTCGTTTCTGTTTTCTTCCTCTCCTCTGTGTGCTCGAGTGAACCGTAGGGACCCGTAACTAACCTAAATATTCGACAGCCGTAACGTAATTTCTCAGTGACACGTCGCCAACGAATACTTTGTGCTTGTTCTTTGGTGAGTTTCATGTTACTACCGAATCTTATCGAATATTTTCCTTCGAATTTATCGGGATTGTCGAATTGCGTGTATCGTAGAAACTTTCGTGGCTAGGCAAGGATGTTTAACCTGAATTGGTTTACAATGTGATCGTGTACACGCGTGATTCTCGTTAGTTTCTACTTCTCGTGATTATTTCTATTTTGAGGCGTGTTTTACATTTTTTTTTTTATGAACACCGTTCTGTTTGTTGTATCTCGATGTTTTTGAAGGTTAAATTATTAAAATTCAAATCCACATTTCTCGTAGCTGGTCTGTAACGGTTTTTCGATTGTTTAATAATGTCTTTGTTTTATTTAGTTATATTGATTTTGAATATGATTGTTTTAGTTTCATCACCTATTGGTTTCTTTTATTAACTATGTAAATTATATTCCATCAGTAATCTTTTAATATAAAATTTCTAACCTATAATTTTGTTTGAATTGCAGAAACTACAGTGTGAATGAACGTGGTCAACCACTGAACAGATAAGATTAGTGAAGTACCAATATAAGGTAATCATGGAGGACGGCCATTGCAAGACAGTGGAAGAGGTAGTAAATTACTTTAACGTCGATCCTGATAAAGGATTATCCGCTGATCAAGTGAAGAGGAACCAGGAGAAGTATGGTCTCAACGGTAAGTAACTGCATTGTTTAATGTTATAACACTTTTGTCTTTGCCCATTGGTTCGTACGTGCAATGATTATTCTTTACCTTATTAGCCACGGAACATATATAGATTATGTACTTTTAGCATAAAATCAGATATAAATGATATTATTTACTATTATTATATATCAAATGAGATATCTAATTATGTTCTTTCACATTTTTTCCATGTTTGATTAATAAAACAAACCAATTTTGAATTTATTAGAAATCACTATTGCATAAATTCAATATATAACTTACTCTGCACTTTATTAACCACTATGCTTAACATAAAATTAAACACAGTGGATAGTATTTGCTGCTGTAATATATTAATACGTTGACTGCCACATCATCCATATCTGTGTAATGTTTGAATTATTATAGAAATCCATCACTTGTAGTATTTGGAATCTTGTTATTTCCCTAATAAGAAAAGTCTATGTTACATACCTGAATTTATACGCGCTAGAAATAAATTATTGTGAAAATATTGCAGAAAATTGTGAAATATTGTGAAAATAACTGTCAGCAGTTTTGATATAACAGTCAACGTGTTAAATGTGTCATCATATTTTGGATGTATACATGGACTTACCATTATGAGTCACTAATTATGGATTAAAATTTCCAATATTTTTCGCACATTTGATAATTGATAAGTTTCTGAAATTTTAGAGCATTCATTCGTTTAAACTCACTATTCAAGCTATACTTTGTTAACTACACAAAATACATGTGTTACAAATTAAACGTTGTTAGCATAAAATACACTACACTTACTATTGCAACATATTAAACACGTCATCATTTTTTCTTTATGTATTACACATGCAAATGAATAACTTAGTACGAGGGACAATTTAAAAATTTTTACCTTGTATGTTGTTAATCAGTGAACTGTTGATATTTTAAAATATTCATGGAAAATCACTGTTGTGTACTTCAGTATACAACGAATCGTAAAGACGACTTTATCGAGCTACTTGAGCTAGCATTGGTCTATACACGACGCACGATGTTTACCCCCACTTTTCTCCACTCCACTGCCAGTCTGCTGGTACACGTGTTCTAAGTTTTCTCAATGGCCCGCATTGATGAAATCCCTTGAATCACCACACTACACCCTAAATACCGTTTATTAATGTTACGTGTATCGTGATAATCGTAATATGCCAGATATTTTTGTTCTCGTATAACGAGATTATTAGTTCGTTGTTGAAGCATTAACCTTTGGGCGTTCAGGTTTTTGCTGACTCAATCTGTGGTTTAGAGCAGAGACAGTCATTGTGGATCGCGAACTGCTTTTCGACGGGTCACGTTAAATATTAAAAATACTCCATTGTGTACATTTCGCATTCATCGTTGTTTGAAAGTTAAAATAGGTCGTTTGATCGATGAAGTTCATTTGTCTGTTTATTTCAATTTTCAATTAAACCATCAAGTGTAGTGTACATTTTGCTTTACAGAAATTGTAATTTATTATTTTAACGATGTATGTAGTCGCCTCGAAATAGTGTTATCGTTTTTTTATATTTTAATATTTTTATCGTCATAGCGAGATCGTCAGTTAATTGTTGAAGCATTAAAATAGGTCATCTGATCTGTGAAGGTTTATTCAATTAATTAAGCTTTAATTATAGGATAGAAAATTTTTAAAAAATTTCTGTTCATTATTTTAATGATTTATGAATTATCGCGGACGGGTTTAAAATTGTGTTACCAGTCTTCAAATTTTAAATAACGAAGATGGTTAAGGTACCTTTTATAAGCTAAATTAATGAAAGTTAGGTGTACCACGGTGAGGAGAAAATTGAGCCGCTCCCTTTAATTTTTAGTCACTATCGAATTATAAAGTGTCCGTCTATTTAATTTGCGAACAATGAGTAACTTGATAAAATAATCAATCGAAAGCTTCTCTAGTTTACGAAGTATCAGATACCATTCTCGTGCTCCAAAAAACACGTCACTATCTGTGCCTCTCCAACAGCTGAAAGCTAAAACATGTAACTATTTCAGGCGCACTCAAGAGTGTATTAATTATTCCAATGTCTTACATATCGTGAGTCGTGAAACCGCGATGGTATCGAACGATAATGGACATAAATAAATACAAGTCGATATCGAACGATTAATATGTATCCGTGGAGGTCTTTGTTTGATAAAAAAGAGAAGCTACCCGATAAGCTGTACTTTCATCGTCAGTATACCGATCAATTTTAATATATTGGACTGTTCAAAATTTATAACACTTATTTTTATTGAAATAGAGAAATTTTCTTAACTTCCTATTTTTTTTAATTTCTATTTTTCTAGGGCTTTCAGTTTTTAGTTTTCAAACTTTCTATTCTTCCAATTTATAATTTGACTATTTTCAATTTTTTCCATTTCCAATTTTTTCAATTTCCAATTTGCCTATTTTCAATTTTTCCCAATTCCAATTTTTTCAATTTCCAATTTACCTACTTTCAATTTATCCATTTTCCAATTTGCCTATCTTCAATTTTTCCCAGTTCCAATTTTTTCCAGTTCAAATTTTTCTAATTTCCAATTTGCCTATTTTCAATTTTTTCTAGTTCCAATTTTTCTAATTTCCAATTTGCCTGTTTTCAATTTTTCCCAGCTCCAATTTTTCCAATTTGCCTATTTTTAATTTTTCCCAGTTCCAATTTTTTCAATTTCCAATTCGCCCACTTTCACTATTTCTAATTCTCAATTTGTCCATTTCCGATTTTTCCAATTTGCCTACTTTCAATATTTCCCATTTAAAATTTATGCAATTTCTAATTTTTTCAAACTCGAAACTCGAGACGAATTTTCTCCACTTGAATTTTTCCAATTATCGAATTAAAGACACGTAAAATTTCGAATATCAGCAATTTACAGAGAAATACTCAGGTTTTGAAATTGAGAAATTGACTACCCTTCAGTGGTCCCGTGCGCGCCACTACCCATCAATTGCCCATCGCAGAAGGGTTGAGATACAATTACTTCTCCATGAAAAGGAATAGAGCGTGTTCTCTCCGAACCGCTGTCACAATCTAATACGTAATCCAGTGAGGTTTTTACCAGAGAAATATTTCTCGAAAGTGAGCGGCGAAGACGAGACACGAACAGAACCGCAAGGTTGTGCTCGTTTTCCCGTTATAACGCGTGTTCGTCGCGTTTGAAAATAATAATAGATGGTGGATTGTCAATAGCGGCCTTGAATCATTAGTATCGTGGCATTCATGGACGATCTGCAGTAAGATACGTGTTACACCTTTTTCTGAACCACCGTTGGAAACCTGTTAATTGACGTAAAATCAATGAAACGCGTTAACGAACGAATATTCATAGCTTCTTCCTCGGAATCGATTTGTCCGTCGAAAAAATTAGCGAACTTCACGCATTACTTAACCACCGCAGACTTTATATTCCATGCTTCAGTGTCGTTCTTTGTATACGTTCGAAATGATAAGTCGCGACTTACCTGTCGTCATATTTTATCTTCAGTTTGAACCGTGAAAGAAAAAACAGAATTACAGATAATGAATGAAACTGCTTGATACTCCGTAATTCACTGATCATCCAAAGATTGATGTTCTTTGTGTTCCATTGATATAAATCGCTTGTTCGTAATTGCGTCTTTCGTCCTCGGTTTTCTTTTTTCATTGAAAATTTCTGTGCTGCAACATTTATTTGTCATTTATTTCTGTTTAATATTGGAAAACGTGGATTTTCGAATGGATGAAACAATTGTAAATAATTGATTGTTACAGTATTAAAAAAAAATTGTATGCGATAGTAAACATTCTATAGAGATTGTTTCAGTATACAGTTTGTAATTATTAGTTTGTACTCTTAACATGTTTGTACTGCATCCGAATAAAAACGGATTCCGTATCTTGATATATATTATGTGCTCCGTTTATTTTTGCAATTTATTTTCGGTTTGAAGGTACTGCTAATACTGTAACGTACACCGCGAAAGTTAACAATAAATCTATTAATAAGCTGCGTTTGCATGTGAAAAGGAACGTAAGATTACGAGAATTGCACGGCCTTGCGAAGTGGAAATCGTTGGTCGCCCAAAATGTTCTATTACTAACGCGACGCACGAAAAGCGGTACCGTTAGTGGATGAATGACCTTTTATCGGTTCGACAATTTTGAATTGACATCTTGACAATTACGCTAAAAATATTGGGAGGGTATAATGAAATCGATTATCAGTGTTGAACATTGGGGTGCTTCGAATGTTATATAACAAAATTATATTAGGGTTGGATAAGGAAAGGGGACACTTTGAATAACTTTATTATGATACATATTTTAAGGGTAATACAGAGTTGAGCATGCTTTCAATTTCATAACTTAAATTTCTAATAAAATTAAGCTCAGGAATGAGTTACTTATAAAAATCAGTTATTGTTTCAAATAAGAACTTATCTGTATAATTAAAGAAATAAATAATTCAGTTTTATTATTCAAAAATAATGTACAAAATTTGATGATAAAATTTACTTGAAATAAGATCTTGTTTCAGACAAAAATATCTTTGAATTAAAAATTACATGTTATTTTCCGAAATTCCCTTTGTTTGTAAAACTTTTATTACGCAAATAAATTTTCACTTGGAGAATAATTTAGATTTCGACAGATTTCGAAACTTTTGCCTCAATATTGTTTCAAACGATGCTCAACCGTGAATATGAACTTACTATAATTTTCTGTCTGATTGTTTTCGTTTCTTAATTATTATTCCGAATTAAACTGGTACTGCCGTCGTGATGGCGAAAGTGTTCCTTCGTTTGAGGGATCGCACCTGATACTTTTCGTTTATTATTTTCTTACTTTTTACGCTCGTTTATTGGTGCAAAGATCACCGAATGCCAGACGCATTCTTTGAGGTTCTGCTTCGGGCAATAAATATTCTCAGTGATCGAAAATGATCGCGTATGATTTTTTGTTCCGAATTTAACCGTGAATGAAACAGATACTATG